AGTAGTAGTAGTCGTAGTAGTAGGAATACATCCTCGGACCTGTGCATGCTAGCACAGGTCTCCGAGTGTTGCATAAAACGGTCTTGAAGTCTATAGACTCCAGAAGGGAGTTGGTAATGAGTCACCTTCGCAAACCCCATGCCTCGGTGCAACCAATAATGCCCTGAATAAAAGCATCAAGACAGCCAACTTTTTCGCAATGAGCGACTTTCGACCACAGCGCTTTCGCCGGCATCTTTGGCTCGAGCGAGAGTTCGGTCCTGTCCTGATCAGAAGATCCAGCGCAAGGATTGCAAACTGGGGTAAGTGTGTTTTGTTCTGTGAGCTGTTTGTATTATCCGTGTCGAGCCTACGCAGGGCTGCTACAGGTTGTGCCGCCGCACACTTACGAAACCGCCTATCCAGACATGTCTCGAACTCTGTTAGCCTAAACGACCACCACGACCACCAGGAGACCACGAGGAGATCGCAAGGAGACCGCAAGGAGAGTACCAGGAGACGATCAAGAGACCAAGACACCGCCCAGAGACCACCAGGAGAGACCAAAGTGCTTTCCTCCGAGTACTGGCAGATTCTGGACCATGGCCAGAATGCTTTCGCCGAAAGATTGGCGGGATTCAGGAGGATTCGGGAGTGCGGCCAAGATGCTTTCCCCCAAGTACAGGCGCGATTTAAGAAGACGTCCGCGTCCCGGGGCAAGTTGTCCGCGGCGCCCCGCGCGGGCCCACCAACCAAATCCCGTTCTCTTAACGTTGGAGCCCTAACATGTGAGCCACACTGTAGAAAAATGATACCTCTGAATACAACTACACCTTAGCTTATACTGTATATGCATGTGTATGTATACGCATGAAGACACATACCTTGGTGGCCGATGCCCCACCTGGGATTCAGCATAGTTCAACATCACCCAGTATTCGCATAAAAAACCATGCCGGGATCAAAGAATGCCCCAATAAGTCGTTCAAGGATCTCGGGACCCTGATCTTTGGTCCAGCCCGAGTTTCAGTATAACTCAGCATAGTTCAGCATTCATTCAGAAAGCAGGCCATGACAGAAGATTTTTGAGAACACTTGTTGGGGCATCTTGGATCATGGATCCAGCTTGGCTTCGGTATAGTTCAGTAGAAGTCAGAAGGAATTTAAGACAAGACTGCCCCATATCACAACATTGCTACAAACGCTGCAAAGGTCTTTGTTTACAAAGCATGTGCTCCAGTGCAGGACTGCTGTTAAAGCATGTAGGGGCCCAATGGATTCTATCTACAGCGGCCAATGGCTTTGGTTAAACAGCATAATTGCGGCATAATCGTTGAAGGGTTAAGAAATATTTCTAGTACAGTAGTACAAGTCAGAACCGGGTGCGGGGAAGGCTACATATTGGCGGCCGGCTGGTACTGATCTAGTCAGCTGGTTAGTGCATTCAGCCGGGTCTGGACCTTAGGGGAACAGAAATAGGCGGTCACCGACGTATGTGTATATAGATAGATGGATAGATGGATAGATAGACAGAGAGAGAGATGGAAAGAAAGAAAGATAGATAGATCTGTCGCTAAATAGATAGATGGATAGACAGATAGATAGATAGGTAGTAGATAAATAGATAGTTCGATGGATAGATAGGTACGTAGATAGATAGATCGATAGATAGGTAGGTAGGTAGGTAGGTAGGTAGGTAGGTAGGTAGGTAGGTAGGGAGGTAGATCGATAGCTGGATAGGTATGTGTATATACATGTACACATGCAATGCTATTCGTACGTAATCTATGTACACGTACATGTATCTATATCCCCATGTACACGGTTATAAATGTATACGTACATGTGTGCCAGAATATGAATACATTCACATGCACATAAGCATGCACAACATCATGCGACGTGCGGTCACATGATGATTGAACTCATGTAGCCGCAGCCTTGGTGTCGCTCCATATGTTGCGGCCTGAAAACACACAACCCATCACACATGCACACAACAAAGCCACATTCACGCACCAGGTGTACAAAACTTGCACTTTGAAGGATTTTGACATGCGGGCTTCTCCGGCCCTGTAATCCTGGGAATCAGGCCTACTTCACTCCTACGCGTATGCTGTCTGGTTATACTGGTTTGACCAAGACGGGCCTTGCTGCAGCAGACGCTCATCACCTTTTCTTCCTGGCGCTGGGGCTTTGCACCACGTGGCTTCCGGAAAGGACGTCTACCTCCAAATATATCGAAAAAGATGCGTCTCAACGCCCTTTTCGTGCTTGTGCAGTGGGGCTCCCAGGTCCTAGCTAGGGCCTGTTCAAGCTGCGTTCTCTGTCATGCGCAGCCACTGAAGAACCCTACGACGAGATGCGGCCACGCCACTTGGCTAGCTTGGAAGAGCTCTCGTCACTGCATCTACGGCACTGCAGAAGTTGCTCCGACTAGTTTCAATTGTCATCGAAGGACATAAACATGCAGGGCTCAATGGGGTGGAGAGGCTGCCATTGCCACAAATCACGCAGTATACCCGGCACTATTCCTCACAAAGAGGTGTGCATAGTTACGCAGGATATATAGCCGGAAAGTCTCTGGAAGTGAAAGACCCTGAAGTCCCATCTCGTGATGGTTTGCAAGAACTGCTGGGGTATTTATAGTAAGACAGATTGGCTGCTGGAGTCTTGGGTCCCTGCCGATTCCGCATACTGGGAACTGGCTTGCTGGCAGGACCTGCAATCAAAGGCAAAGGGAAGCGGCATGGTCTGCGACTGCTACATGTGTTCTGTGAAAGGGCTTTTGAGCGTGTTCTTGGCATCTGCAGAGCTCAAGTCGTACGCAAGCCCCGACCTAAAACCAAACCCTAAAAATCTACAAAACCCACCCGTTCAGAGTTCCCTTCTAACTGATTTCCTCGTTGTGCTTTGATGAGAAGAAGCAGGCTTTTGGTGCTTGGTTTTTTGATTTAGGTCAGGGTCCTAGCCGAGCCCTCAACTGTAAACCTGAAGCCCCCAAGCTCTGAAACCCTAAACAAACCCCTGAGCAGCTCTACCACAGTGATGCAGCCTTGTCGAAGCTCAGATTAGCAAAGCTTCTACCCAGCCCGTGGAGAGACCTTGGTGGTTGAAAAGCTTAGGAGCAAAAATACAGCACTGTGCAGAAGTCACGGCAAGATTGAGGGTACCGATAGTCCTGCTGCATGCGTGCGTGCAGGTATTGGGAGGCGCTTAATGGCTCTTTTCGGCCATGTGTAAGGCTGACGCTTGTCGCGGTGGCTTCAAAATCTTCAAAAGCTCCGCCATGAGAGGAGATGGCCCGCTTACAAGGACCGGCCCCAAACCCAAGAGAATTAATGCCCCGATTCCCAAGCTCGATGCTTCTTGCTGCAGAAGTAAGGACTTAATCGCTGAATCCTTGGTCACAAACCTGACAAATAAGTCCCGCCATACATCACAATACCCTCCACAGCCTCCTGTGTTCGAGTCTGCAGTGCCGAGAGTTGGATCCTGCGCAGACTTGCTCTGAAGAGCAATAAGGCTGGGTAGGTACCAACCCGAATCACAGGGTTGCCGGTCTTGCTTCACCATATGCAGGCCTTCATCGATGTCCAGTTCGCTTTACAGTCCTTGCTGCATTGTTTGTGCACAAAGTGCCCATGATAGAAAAACGCCGTCAAGCAGGAAAGCATAGCAAAGCCATCCAAGAGAGTGAGAAGACAAGACTGCTTCGGGTCACGACGCTACGAGTGTCCCCGTGCCGGAAAATCCAACTTCACCAGCTGAGCAACCTCTGCCCCCTTCAGCCTCTTCAATGGTCGGGCTCAGCTGGCTGCTGCGCAGACCTACAGGTGCTGACGAAATTGCAGACAGACCTACGCCCGGGCACTGCATCTTCTTACAAAGCTGAGCACAGCCATTGCCATGCAGATTAAGTTGAACCCGACATTTCATTGAAGCGTGGACCCCGAGTGCCCGATACTTGCGCAGACTGTCCGGTCTTTGAAAAAACCCTCCCTGTACGGCCGGCCGAGTGCTGCAAAGGCCGCGAGCAAGACGCAGGGCGCCAGGATGAGCAGACCGACATCCCAGAGCCGGCCCTGAGAAGCCGCTTGGGAGCTTTGGCTTTGGAGTTTTTGGCCTGGATAGGAGTAGCCTCAACTCAGAGATAAGCTTGAACGATCTTGAACGCAATGAACATCGCCACAGCACGAAACCCGAAAAATCCCTGATCAATGTTATCTGGAGCAGCTCTACAGTGATTTGCAACCCTGAGCTTGAGGCATCTACGATTCGACTCTTTTTGCAACGATGTATTTAGTCAATGCCTCAGCAGCCCTCATAACGGGGGAATGCCGTCCAACAGCTGGGGCGGTGAATGGAGCAGATATTACAAACGGGCTTTGGGAGAAGACCCAGTTGAGAAGGATGTGCAGTGGGGCATGCGGAACTGCGACCTGGCACCTTCTTTTCTCGGAGCTCTGCCTGGGCCTGTTGCAAGCCCGAGAGAAGGTTTGCACTGAGGATACCACGGCATGAGGCACCCTCTCCACGAGCATTTGCAAGTGCCCGACCTCAAGGGCAGGATGGTGTGTATCGGGTCATCGCTTGACGCTCATATCCAAGTTTGCTACGCTGCTGCAGGATGCAGCAGGTGTCTGCGCTCATGCCCTGAGCCAGGGCACTCCATGCTGCGCCATCAGAAGTGCATCAGCAGCCAAGGCAGCGCCACCTCCACACTGAAATTCTACATTCTACTTGTGCAAGAAGGCGGTGGCAGTGGTCATAATCCTGTTGCAGTGGCGGCCCGGCTTGCTGGTGCTAGGCTCTGATGCTGCTGCAGTCGTTTCTGTGTCAGTGCACATCGCTGCACAAACTGCTCGCGATCCATCTTGAGCTGGTTCAGAGTCGAATGTCAGAGAACAGGCTAAGGGAACATGGCCGGGCACATCGGTTTTCGGAGACGGCCTCTGCTTGTTGCTGAGAGTCCGTTGCACCGTAGAATCAGCTTAAAAGGCCCTGAAGCTGTCAGGATCCCTTCACAGGCCGGACGTCAGGCAAGACCAGCCTTAACTCTCTGATCTTACAAAGTTGCTAAAGCAGACGGGAGGACGATGAAGATTCCCATGGCGGCCGCGGCGATGATAATGCTTGTGATGACGACGACGAGAGACTGTGCCAAGAGAACAGCCAAGCATGACACACACACACACAGCCTGCGTGCCGGCCGATGCCTGACAGCTTCATGTCACGATGATTCGACAAGAATCGCACTTCCAGAAGCTTGATTGCAAGACCAAACGACAGTCTAATACACACATCATAGCAAGACTGAAAACGAACTCGCTCAGACTGTCAACAAACTCGCTGAACAACCATTGCGACGAAGACGGCACGGGCAGACCCATCATGATTTACTCTGCACGGCAATGCTTGATATTCGTATTCGCACAAGTAATATCAACAACTTGTTCTTCCAACAGGCAGCCAGCAACATGCACCGTGGAATGCTTGCCAGCCAGGTTTCCATATCGAAAATTCTGCACAATAAACACCCGCCGTCATTTGGAAGCGCTTCCGCATGCCATGTCTAACGACCCAATTGCAAAGAACTCGAAACCGGACGTGGGAATTCAGAGAGAAGTAACTATTGTTAGATTTCGCGATAAACGAATCAATCGTTCGCTGCATCACACACACTGTATCACACCAGCACCTTTATTTTGCACAAACACAGGCCTAAATGCATTCCAAAGACGAAGGACAGCGTGTCAACACCCTTTCACCGCGGCGAGAATTGCACGAAGATTTGTCGAAGCCCGCAGCCCCAAGGCCCGAGCGTCCCGCAGCAGCGGCGTGTTGTCGAAAACTAGGTGCCGTCAGGCGGCGCAAGGCCTCTTTAGTACTGCGGCATGGCTTCACCGTTCTCGAGATTAAAGCGGCAAGCAAGCACAGCCACTCGCTCGAAGCCGTAGCCAGAACACCCGTGATGCTGGAATGCATTCAGCACTGTAGGCATCAACAACAACAACAACAACAACAGCAGCAGCAGACTGCAATGAGGACCATGCACAAACTGGGCCGAATCCTACCCTGATGCAGGATGTGAATGCCATCAAGGTAGCCTCAGCCAAGTTTAATATATAAGCGCAAAACTCAGTGGAAGGGGAATTGGAGAGATTGACTGTTCTGAACACTTCTGCATGCCGTGGCCTCCTGTGTGGGAGCCACCTCAAGATTGGGAACCTGGGCAGAGCAGGGACGGTGTCTTGCCTTGTTACTGCATTGCAATGCTGCGGAATTGTAGCTATGAAAACTCCAGATAACTCGTGCATGCCAGCAACATGCAACCTGCAGGCCTGGACCCAACAGCACGCAGCGGACAACTTGCAGGTTACCTGCTGCCCTTCCCATACCACCTACATACCCAAAGCGACGGGCAGACGAACTGAACCGGCGGTTCATGCAGCTTGAACCCGTACTTGCCCGAAGCTGGCAAAGCAAAACAACCGGCAAGAAGTATAGCAGCGTAGTGGTCGGGTTGCGGCAGTCGAAGCTGCAGCAGCAGTGGGAAATGGCAATCGCAGCAGGAGTAGCAATGGGCCAACAAACAAACCACAACCACAACAACAACAACAACCACTACAACTGCAACAACAAGAACCACAACACAATAACAAAAACAGTACTAATGAGAAACAGAAGAGCTAGAGCAAACACAACAGCAGCAGCAAACAACAGAAGCAAGAGCAACAGCAAGAGCACCAAGACCAGCACCAACACGAACACCACCACCACCAACAACAGCAACCACACCAGCAGAAGCAACAACAACAACAACAACAACAACAACACCACCAGCAGCAGCAGCAGCAGCAGCAGCAGCAGGAGCAGCAGCACCAACACCAACACCAACACCAACACCAACACCAACACCAACACCAACACCATCACCACCACCACCACCACCACCACCACCACCACCACCAACAACAACAACAACAACAACACAACAATAACAATAACAATAACAATAACAATAACAATAACAATAACAATAACAATAACAATAACAATAACAATAACAATAACAATAACAACAACAATAACAACAACAAGAAGAATAACAAGATCAACAACAACTGCTACTACGACTACGACTACGACTGCGACGACGACGACGACGACTACTACTACTACGGCCGAAATACAACGATTAAATGCTCAAAACAAACACGTCTCCTTACTTTGTTGGAGATGACTGTCTTTGCACGGGGGCCGCAAGCTTGAGAAAATCAGTCCTTTAATCCATAAATAATATCCCACCCCGCGGGTGAAGTCCTGCATCAGCTTGATCCTGTCCGAGTCAGCGGCACGCCTGGCTTCCTCCAAGCCCAGCAGCTGCTTTACATAGCCCTCACTTTGGGAGGCCATGGTTTCACGCATCGCCTTGCCAGCATCTCCCAAATCCACGCGAGTCGACTGTAGTGCTGCCTTCTCTTCCGAGACCTCTCGCAAGCGCTGTTGAAGGCTGCCCTTCTTGCGCTCCAGTCGCTCAACCAGCTGTGTCTGTGCGGATGCAGCATGTTGGGTGTTCGCTAGCCACTGCAAGGATTTCTCCACCTCTTCCAGGGCTTGCATATCCTCAGAGTCCGCTACCCTGTCCGCGACCCAGGAGTCTGCCAACTTCAGCCGCATTTCCGCGACCTCCTCCCGTGCTTTTTGCAGCTGCTCCTGGGCCTCCCCTCTTTGCTCCTCAGCCCGCGCCTGCACCTCTGCGGACACCAAGGATCGAGCCTGGATCTCTGCAGCCTGGATGCGGCTCTCCACCGCCGCATGCTGATCTTGCAAGGGCTTCTGCGCCTCCGCTGCATTGGAGTTGTGCTTGGGGTGAGGCATCAAAAAATACACAGGCATCAAAAAACTAAGCAGGAGAATCACCAGAAACCTAAGATAAGCATCAACAAAAACTTAATCACTAAAATAAGCATCAAAAAAGTTTAAGCACTAAAATAGGCCTCAAAAAACTTAAAGCGCACAGGCGGATTCAAGTTTAGGGCTCAGGCTTTAAGATTCAAGCCTCTTCGGATTCATCCTAAATCTTACACGCGCCGCTTCATGTGGCGATTCCGGTTTCATCACATCACATATTTCAAAGACGCCCCCTCATTTGGCGATTCCATCTCATAATACATCTTAAGAACGCACCCTCGTTGGCGATTCCGGTTCATCATAATTTAAACACGCCTCATTTGGCGATTCCGATTCATTAACACCTTAAACAAGCTCATATATCTACAACACGCCCCCTCATTGGCGATTCCGGTTCATCATATATCTTAAACACACCCCCTTATTTGGCGATTCCGGTTCATCATATATCTCAAACATGCCCCCTCATTTGGCGACTCCGGATTCATCATATATCTTGATTAACACGCCCCCTCGTTTGGCGATTCCGGTTCCCGGTTTCTCATATATCATATATCTATAACACACCTTCTCATGTGGTGCTTCCGGTTCATCATATATCTTAAAACACGCCCCTTCCTTTGACGATTCCGGTTCCTCATATATCTTAAACACTCCCCCTTATTTGGCGATTCCGCTTCATCATGTATCTACAACACGTCCGAAACGCAATGATCGCATCATGGGTTTCAAAATGGAAACTCAGATACTTACTTTCAAGCAAGGTTGCACGGTAAAAACAGCGGGGGGGTTGGGGGGGGCAGCCCCCCCCCTTTCCAAACAGAATGCTCGCGTAACAGAATCCAAAAACACTGACATGCTTTGAAGCTACCCGTGCCCCCCCCCCTTTGCAAACAGAATGCTTACGTGACAGAACCCAATCCAAAAACAAAAACAGAGGGGGGTTGGCTGGGTGCAGCCCCCCCATTTGCAAACACAGTGCTTGCATGATGGGTTTCTAAAAAGGAAACTCATATACTTTGTTCCTTCCTTCCTTCCTTCCTTCCTTCCTTCCTTCCCTCCTTCCTTCCTTCCTTCCTTCCTTCCTTCCTCTCATTCCTTAAACCCCAGTTTGAGTGTATATAGTTGGGCTCCGGATCATCACAGCATCACCCAATAGCTCCAACAGCGAAGATGGCAGAACATTGCGAAATCCCGTGACACCAAACGGACGAATATCGTGGCGGCCATTGGGGCAGCTTTGCATTCAGCTTCCCAGTAAAGCAGCTATAGGCCCTAACGTCTATGGAGTTTAGGAGTTTAGGCCTTTGATTTTCGGCCGCCCGGGTTCGGGCTCGGGAGCCAACGAAACAAAACTGCCTCAAAACGATTTGAGCGTCGCACCCCTTGACGAGAGTGCCGCAAAACTCGCCAATGAACCAACAATCCCTACAACAACGCAATGACTCACAGTGCTGGTTACGAGTTGTTTGTCTTGTTTTGTCGTTGTTGTTTTCTTGCATTCATTGCGTTCGTTGTTGATTTCTATCGTTCTAGTTGTTTTATAATTTCTATTTCATGTTTTGTCTTTTCGCATTTGTTTGGGTGTTGTTTCTTTTGATTCCCCTCTCGAATAGTGTGGTCTTCTTGCTCGCGCTTCCTTCGGTTGTTTCTTATTGTTTCTTATGTTTTAAGTTGCGTTTATTGTCTTAGTGTTTTGCTGGTTGGTGGCATTTGTTGTTTATTCCTTCCGTTCATTGTTATGTCTTTGTCGTTCTTATGTTTTAGTCTATTTCGCTCTTCCTTCCTTACTTCCTTCCTCTATGTCTATCTTTATTTATTCCTTTGTATGTTTATCTCTTTCTTTCTTTATTTCCTTCTTTATGTCGTTCTTTATTTCTTTATGTTTTCTTTCTCGTTTGCTTTCTTGCTTGTTTGCTTTCTTTATTGCTTGATTTCTTTATTTTGTTCTGTCTGTCTTTCTGTCTTTTTTTCATTAGTTCGCTCTGTCTCTCTTTCTTTCTTTCTGTCTTTCTTTCTGTCTGTCTCCTTGTGTAAACCTGTTTAATTGTTTGATGCCTATTTAGTTTTTTGATGCTTATTTGATTTCTTTTTTTTGCCTATCCCGTTGTGAGGCAAGAGGGCAGAGAAAGGCTGCCAGAAATAAGGAAGTTGCTGCGTTGACGTCTTTCAGCTCATGCCGGCAATGGTCATTGTCCTTTAAGCGGTATATAGCAACGACTGCCGTGACCGCGATTGCTTTCTCATTCTTATGACTTGAACTGAGTGACGTCTGTGAAATTGTCGGCAACATGCATCACAAGCGTTTGCTTTCCCGTGCTGACCTCCCGAAGGTTTTGGCAAGCGCGGTTTCGATCGATCTCCAGGGCGCGACATGCTTCTCGTGCCTTCGGGATGCACTTGGTGCCGTGCTTCGGGCATACAAGGAAGGCTCGGAGCTCTCGGGGTTCCTTCGTTTACAACTCCCACTGCGGTACTCGTGTCGAGGTTGCAACGGTCTCCCCTGCAATCTAGTCGGCCGTAGCCGCTGTGAAGACGGCTAGGGGCTCTTTGCACAGGAAACGCACCGAAAAACCCGTGGTTTTGAGAACACGACTCAGATGAATCATCTACCCGTACGACTTGTCGTCGGGACATCCTATCGTTCGGCCCGAGGCCGCAGCCCCTCTCTGCTGCGCCTTCGGCCCGTCCAGTCTAGGTCTAGGAATGCGTGATCAGCCGAAGCCGGCTTCATGATTTCCTACATATGAATGCAACAGTTCTGCCTTTGTTAGCAGCCGCCCTCGACGAGGTCAATCAAAGTACAAGGAAACACTTGACACCAGCCTACGACAGCGATGCCAACCTTGAAGTTTTCGGACTCATACATTAACGTCACATGATCTCAGCACAGTCCTGACTGATGTATCACAGCCATCAGCAGTTGCACTGCGGTCCGAGGATTAGAAAAGCTTGAGCAGGCTCCCGAGCACCTGGAGGTGCATCCGCTGCCTTCGGGTTCGCAGGTCTGCATGAGCGTGACTGCATGGTGGCTTGTAACATAAGGCACGGCAGTGTCATCAAGAACTCCCGAGGGTCGAAGCTATCGACGCCAAGCAGCTCCCGCACCAAAGAGGCTTTCCGAGGGCCCAGGGCTTCGAGGTCCTCATAGAGTGCCTCATCCCATGACTCACGGCGTCTGACACACGTATGTTCAGGCTCTCAACTCTCGTGGCCTCAATCTCCTGCTCCACTGCGACGCATGCCGCCGCCACAGGATTGTTCTCAACGACCTGCTAGATGACGACCCGAGTCCAGAGGTGCACGAACGCAAA